TAAAAGTAAATCATGGACTTCTCCGTGGTGCGTTTGTTTCTCCCACTGTATAGCGATGTTATCTGTGTGTTTACGAAACGCAACGAGATATGCCGTCATAATCTTACAGTGTTAGCATTCACAGACAAAGCAACTTCAGTCAAGAGTAACACTGACACCTGTCTTGTAAAAATACGAGTTTCAAAAGCGGTGGTTTCATTTTTCGTTAGTCGAGACATAGGTGGCGTAATTCTATAACCGTGTCATGTTGGGCGAGTGTTTTCTTATGACTCGCATCGATGGATACGCGACACGTGTCGCTAGGAGACAGACTATCGTCTTTCATCTACATTAAAACAAAAACAAGAGGAAACATGTTCGCATTTTACAGAGGGCGCTGACAATTCATCGTGAATACTGAGGACCAAGAAAAATTAAATGTCACGATAATCATCATCTGTAATATATATATTGATTTCATATTTTTTTCAAATTTTTAATATCTTCAAAAAGAAATGTCACATTGGAAATAAAGCATGTTCTATTCTATCATATTCTACCGTCAGGAAATACAGTGCGTGTACTCGCATATAAAGAGATCTGCATTTTGTATCTATTTGTAAGACTTGAGATAAGACCGTTTGGAAACCATGTACAATATTCACTACTGATTTTCATTTTTGTATCTAAGTATCTAAACATATTTGTACTCATTCTTTCAAACAAATTTTAATGTTGGAATGATTTTTTGTAAATATATCGATACAAAGTGAAATACGACACTATGCGAAGGACGCCACCAGTTGTATATAATTTCTTAGCGAAGGATAAAAATGCAAAATAAAAAATGTGTCCATTCCTCTTGCCAAGTATTTAAACACTTGTTCTGAAATAAGACAACACCTACTTCTATATTTTCATTCTATTGAAATCTTGAATCGAGAGTTTGTTGTTTGTTTGTTTGTATTTCTCTTTCGAGATGGGTCGATTCTACCCGGGACAGAACGTACATTTTATTTGATAGGGGAAAAATACAACATCGTCCTGAATAAGAAATGAAAAGTGAATTAAAGACATAATTTGCACACGACTGTGTAATCTAGACCCCTCCCTCGGCTCCCTCGCTTACGAAGGAGAGGGGGTTAATAGCTAAAATGTCTCGCACTCATGAACATTTAAATATTACTGTAAAATTGTTGTACGAACTTGTGTGACTTTTTCAGCAAGTTAGGGCACATTACAAATATGAAAGTATCGAGTTAAAGGGCCCTATTGTGGAAAAAATGGCGTCTGCTCTAAAGAAGATGCGTGAATGGGACGATAAGTTCGAAAGGTTTTTCCAAATTGGTCGACGAGAGGATGGGAAATTTTACCTTCAGCTCAGTGATAGCTGGAAGTATCGGACGTTTGCTTTAGAAATGTTTGGTAAAACCGCATACTGGATTTTAACGTTTCCAACTGCCAAGCATAAAAAATGGATGTCAATTGCGTTTGTGATTGCTGCAACTTTGTGGCTCCAACGAAAAGCTATGGCAGCTCATCGAAGAGCAGTAAATAGGCGGAAAGCGAAAGACGAAAGAAAACGAGTTGGCGATGCGAAACTTGCCTTAGCTAATAAACTGGCAACAGCTGACAAGGTACGACTATGAGTTTATACTCAAACTGACACACTTGTGATGGAATTGAATAGTCATGGGCAAACACAAAACGTTCCCTTTCCCATTCTCTATTAACGCTTATCTGGTCTAGTCAATGTAAGTACATAGGGCTGGCAGGATAAGGGTTAAGGTAGGTCGATACCTTACCCCCAAAAAGTAATTTAGACCGACTTTGGCGCTTTTTGGTCTGCACGGTATTTCAGAGTGTCATGTTATACATGTTTGGGTACCCAGATTTATTGATTGTTGTTTAAAGTGTATTGAACCATGATTGAACCTAATACCTGACCTTTAAACCATAGATGTTTAGTTCATAGTGATCAGCAACAAAGAGTACTACTATAATCACGAGCACAGTCCCACAATTGGTGTTGAGCGACTGTGATCTTGAGACAACAATGTGACATATCTAGTCCAACAATTAGACTGGCGCAGTTGAGGCGATTAATTTGTTTTTGTAGTTTAAATAAAATTTAAAAAATTGCGAGATGGAGGTGTTAGCGCTAAATCCCCTGTAACTGCGAAATCACTTTGACTGGTTTATTCTGCATGGCCCTCTATCGACACTGCAGGAACCCGTTAATTTTTTAACGGGTAATTATGTTAATGAGTGTTCTAATTGACAATCATCTAAGCCAATCACAACATCTCTTTAACTGACCTTTGACCGAAAAGACATCGGCTGATTGTAGCAGCCGATTTTTTTTTAATTCTACGACTAGAAACTACATTAAAACCTACTTTTTACAGTTTCTATGCTACATTCTAAGTCTATTTCCGACGACTACGACAAACTCGAATTTCAACGTGCCGCCATTTTGGATCGGCAGTGTGACCTTTACTATGTTGACCTCATTATTCACGTATTTCCGCGCCCACCTCATTATATTATGTGCATTCATGAATATTTAATAGCAATGAACTTCCTGCAGAATAAACCAGTCGGGGTGATTTTGCGCCAACACCTTCTATTTTATTTTATTTAAACTACAAAAACAAATTAATCGCCCGACTGCGCCAGTCTATCCAACAATGTAAATAACTGCAATTGCACTAGGACTCGGCATATGATTTATGATTTAAAATATATACTGCATTTATAAACCTAAAATTGCATTTATTGTATATAGAAACATTAAAATATTGCTTATTTTGACTATTGAAACCCCTCTATAATTTATGTGGTCATATGTGCTACTAATAATACT